TCAAGATCAAAATACTAATTAACAATAATAATAAAAAAAACAAATCCATAATTTGTGATTGAACAGCAGATAAAAAATGGAACTAAATGTCTCTATGAACTTAAGAGAATTATGAAACCTATCAAACTTATGAAACCTAATAAACCTATGAAATCGTAGGAATTCATTGAACTGTGGAAACCTGATGAATCTAATTCATTTTTTGATATAAATGAATGAATGTGATTTTGAATTTAGACCTATCGATTCAAAGCTTAATCTAATAAAGAGAACTATAAGAGAGGAAATCAAATGAGAGAATTGAGATGTAGTATAATTATATTTATTAAATTCGATACTTCTTGATCTTAAAATAAGAATTATGAATTTCATAAGTTAATAATTCCAACTTATTATAAATGATTTATTTGTTATATTAAATAAATTTATTTTAAACATATTCATTAATAGAGGAATTGTAGAAAATTTACTATAAATATCATTCAATTTTATTATAATGTGTTTACTATTAAAATAATGGTTGAACAAAAAGAAATAAACCAGATATAATTGTATCAATCCATTACAAATCAAATTGGAATTGCTATACGTTTACCAAATTTAGAACATTTCAAATTTATATTCACACTTTTTGATTTCTCTTATTTAAAGTATCATTTTTTTACAAAGAAGAGCTTTCCTTTGAAATAAAATTTAATTTATGAAAGGTTTTTGTAATAATTCTATTTCGGGAGTTGAAATAAAACATCCTTCTGTATTCTTTCAAACTCTTAGTAATAGTTGGGTTGAAATTTTCATGAATTAATATTTTTTAAATAATAATTATTTATTTGTAGATAAGGAATTTTAAAAGAAAAAGAAAGGAATTTATTTTGTCAATTGTAATAATTTTCCTAAAGTTTATTCTTTGTACAGTATTCTAGAGGTGATATTTAAAGAAACTAACTGATTATCCTATTTTTCTATCTAATGACTAATGATATTTGAAACATCAGAATTTGTAAAGGAATAATGTATTTAAAAGCAATTAATTAACCTACCGAATAAGGTCACACTATTGTATATTGTGAAAAAATTATTACTTGAGATTAAGAGTGATATTAAAAATCAAAAAAATCAAAATATATATCTCATAAAAAACTCTTAAATAAGGGTTTGACTTAAAATTTCTGAACAAATCACTATTCAATTTCTTATAGATTAATAGCTTCTTTAACAGTCATAATTGTAAATAACACTATTGTTACTAGTTTAATCCCTAGGTATTAGCAATTTATAGATAGTGATTGATGATTAAACATTTAGGGTTTTCTCACCAGTTGGATAAAGTATAAAATACAAACTATTAAAAATATAAGTACTTTACCTCAGAAAATAGCTACCTATATCCATAGAGATTGATATTTTGCATTTTTTAATTCCATTTGTTTATTAAGTTTTTATTCAAGATTTAAGTATTCAAAATAAGCTTCGCAAAGGATCTTTTTTCAAACTTTTTATAATATAAATTCTAACTTTTCTAAAATGTATTGCAATTAAAATGTTTAATTTTCAATAAGGTTAAAAGCTAAGTTCTAGTTTGAAATAACTAAAAATCCCATCAAAATCAACATTATCTAAATTAGAATCTAAGATCAAAATTAGAAAAGAAAACTAATAATTAAACTTTGTCTAGATAAAAGTGATTTAAACTAATTAAGTAATTTTAACTAATAAATTTTTGTTCTACAAAAGATAAATTTCTTTTATGCAAATCCTTTTATTTATTCTATCGCTGTTTAAATCCCTCTATTATCAGATGCATAAATTCAAGTACACATTCTTTCATTGAATCTCCAGATATTTATCTTGCTAAACATAGAACTCTACTTGTTTTCCCTATTCCAGGAGGACCATTAATATGATATTGGATAGATTTCCCATTTTGCTATTTCTTTATGTTTTTCAACAATAATTACCATAAACCTCATCTAGAGTTGTTGGATGATATTTCTCTAACAAAATTAAATGATTTTTTATTGACTGCAGAATTTAATTATATTTATAATTTACAAATCTTGATTAATTTGAAAAAGAAATTTAACAATATATATTATACTAATAATAATGACAGATGATTTCTTTAACCTTGATTTTGAAGTGATTGCTATTAATCATGTAAATATCAATTCAATAGTAATAGAGATAGTGGCATGTCATCTAATAATACTCATTAAAATAAAGTAAAGATAAAGAAGAAAAAAAATCAACAAAAAATACTAACCAATCAATGAATAACAATCTTGTATATTGATATGAAGATAATCAAGAATAATATAAGAAAATTACAAAGTATATTATTAATTTATTTAAGGAAACTGAGAGAATAAGCTAATAGAGTTAGAGGAAGGTAAAAGAATTATGGACAATATATGGAATTGTAACTATTTGATAAGAAAAAAGAGATAACTTTAAATGTAATTGCTAAATTGTAAGCTGTTCTAAAACAATAGGTTGAATTTATGTAAAATTATGTCATCACAAACACATCAGAGTGATAAAACTTTACAAAGAGACTCTCCTAAAAATAGTTATTTATCTACTTTGACTGCCTTCTCAATTATATTAGGTTTTGCACTTCTAAATGGAGTAGGATTAGAGAATTAATAAATGATCCAATCATTTCAATTCCAATCACAGCCACTCATTCTATTAAACCCTTTTATTTGGTTCACCCATAGCTCTTTGGCTTGTGTATACTCTCTATCTTGTCCATAAAGTGTTTTTAAAAAGTAAATTAAAAAAGAAAAATGTTATTTGATTATTTTATAATATACACACATGAATTTGATCGAAAATAATTACGTTCATAATATGCTATTTTTACATGGGTTGATAAATATATTTTCAATTCGGAAAATAGGATTTATTGTGAACAATTACGAAATCTTATATCAAGCATTTGATAATGTACCTGACGCTAAATATTATTAATTTGTAAAAAATAGAAAAGAAAATATGATCAGGCTTTTCGTTCTAAATTTAATCATCTCAATTATTACTCGGTACATTTATAACAGATATTTACAATGATTTTATAAATTTTTATCACCATCCTAACAATAACAATAGAACATCAACATTCATAGGAGCATGTGAGAATCTAATCTCTAGTTGTCATAGAGGATATATAAAAAAATTAAAGAAAAAGACATATACGAAGTCTTTAATTAGTAATTTGCTTAGCATAACTTTTAAAAATTAAAAATATTATTCTCTGTCATTATCAAGGATTTAATTAACATTAATTAAAAGAATATAAATTTTTTTCATCTTTTTTTAGAGAAATTTATTTTGATTCTAAGGATATATTTGAAAAATTATCTTAGCCTTATAATCTTGATAAAAGGATGGAACATCTCAATTTTGTAATACAATTACTAGTGCTTCTGTATTTTCAAAAATTGCATATAATTTTTGTTCAAGTGGTAATAATGGAATACTTTATTAATTCCTATGGGATTAAGATGTTCCTCATCCATGTTTTAAATTATAATCGTACCATACCCAATATCCAAAAGAGGAAGAAGTACGAAACCAATAGCATTTAAGTAGAACCCACTACAATCTATAGGGTTGCGATTTAACAAGGAAAAATAACTTTCAATGTTGGGAAAGATTTATTGAGACAAAAATAATGAGGAAAAAATTAAACTGAAGATTGAAGCTCTAGTAAATTTTTAAAGTAAAAGAACTTTTGATTTGGTATCAATTTTTGCTAGAGAATTTGATGATTAAGAAATATGGATGAAATTCTCTTTAGGATTGAAAATGAATTAGTGAATATGATTGGATAGATTCAAATTTAATTAACTAAAATTCTGTCATTCTAATTATACTGATGTTTTGTATCAAATTGAAAAGCTCACTAAAACATATACCTAAGTTATTAAGATTGAATTTTAACATTAAAATCCCTAAGAATTGTTTTAATTGATCAAAGAACTTATAGAAAAAGTCATTACATACTTTAGACAAAATATCTGGACTTTGATCTAAAGGGAATTATATAAATTGAATTTTGGAAAGAATATTTAGAAAATTTACAAGCAAAATTGAAAAGAAAAAATCTTAAAACTCAACAATTACAGCTCCCAATAGTTAGAAAGTAGACCCATCTTCTTTGTAATCTTCACATGTTTAAAAGGGTAATACTGCAGGATTATCCTATTAATAACTTAAAGCATAGAAGATTACTTCTTTGCAATAAGTTTAACATAAGAATGGTAATTTTGTATATGAAGCAACTCTTTAAGATGGGAATAAATTGTTGATGCCTCACAATCCAAATAACAATAATGAATTGACATTTCCTAAAAATATTGATGCTACAGGTAAAAATCAATATAAGAGGTGTAATAATCTTTAAAGGGATAAAGTCAGAAATTTAACATAGAATCCATTTAAGCAAAGGAAATGGATTATGAATTCTAAAAGGCTAAAATATAATGGTAAATAGAAGGGGTAATAGCAGGAACACTTGGCAGATAGACTGTTAACTGTATAATGGAATCGATGCATAAAAATTAGGCAAAGGTTTATTTGTTTCTGCTTCTATTTAAGGAGGTTTTATATA